AGGTTTGCCAAATCGGGATGGTTAGATAATTTGCTGCAGATATCATTTTKGTTTTTCTTTTCTTTCTTCCTTTTTTGGGAGAAATAACCTGAGGCGCTTTACGCTATACCCCCCAGCCCATTTTTAAGACAGGGTTTCGCTAAATTACTGAGGTGATGGAGATCCTCCTGCGACAGCGTGGCGAGTCGCTGGCATTACAGGCGAGTCCCGACGCGCCTGGCTAGTTAAAAAAAAAAAAAAAAAAAAAAAGTTAACTTACGTTAAAAAGTGCGACTCGTGACAACGACAAGGTCCATGCCAGCCTGGGAAGCTTAGGCCACTTCAAAGTAAAGAAATAAAAAGGGCTGGGGAAGTAGCCCAGTGGAGGCCCCTGGGCTCAATCCCCGGCACCCAGGAAAAGCCGCACTCACGCTCCAGGCATTCCGCCATCAACTCTGAAAAAACGGCAGTTTCGCAATCAATACAGCTTCCCTCTACCCGTTTTTAACTTCCTCTACAACTCAGTTTTCAACACTTCCAAAGTATAAAGTGTCCAGGAAGTAACAACTATGAACTTTAAGCAAAGGAGGAGAAAGAACACCTCGGGAGAAGGACGGCCGAAGCACGGAAAACTCAAGATTCAGAAAGGTGGGGAACCGCGTGGCCGCGTGGGGGGGAGGGGCCTGAAGCCCCGCCCAGGCCCTGCGTGTATTTGGCGCCAAACTCCGAGAGCTCTTACACCGCGGGTGTGTCGGCATCTCGCGAGAAGTTCGGTTCACCCGCTGCGTCCAGCGGGGCGCCCACCGCGCAGAGGCTGCAGGCGGCGTGAGCTGAAAGCGGGTGCCGCGAAAGTGAAGTTCTTGGTGAGGAGGCTTCTTTCGGAGCTTGACAGGAGCTGGGGAGTCTCAGGGAGCGGGTGAGGAGCTGGAGAACAGGATTTCGGCGGAGCKCCCCTGGAGCGGGGGGCGGCCGGACCGGCCTGGACCGGTGGGGGCGGGCACGTTTACCTGCGTTGCSGTTCAGGGCTGCCTGCCGCTAAGCCGAGCCTTCTGGCGGGAGCGAGCGCGTTTCCGGGTCCCTCCGCTTCTGTAGATGGCCCTATAAACACAGAGGGCGMCTTGTGGATGTGCAGTGAACGAACCCGGTTGAACCGGGGGAGCGAGATGAGAGTTGGAGAGGAGGCTGGGAGGGGTGATGTTTTCAGCCGTGGGACCCAGGGGAATTAAAGTCAGACACAGGGCTTCTGTTCGACGACTTGGGGACATGGGAAAGTTGGACWTGGGAAACGGAAGGGTCTGGGAACGAATTGTGGTTTGGATATTACGTGTGTTAATCTTCAGTCCTCTGAAAGTTTGGGGATCAGAGGAGGAAGTTAAGAGTTTGATCAGTGTCTTAAAAAGAGGCAGTTATGCCACCATTGTCAAGGCGTGAAAGAAGTGTAGGAAATGTGATCTGCAGCTAAGGAGCATCAGTTTACTGACACTCCTCGCCCTATGCTCCATGCCCGAACACTTCCTTGATGAACTTAATATAGTTTGTGCCTTGTCACCAAACTCAGAGCTCCCTGTCAACCTCRAATTTCTGAACCCCACTTCTTTCCAAAGGACTTAATTGAAATAGAGGTAAATATACTTGTTTTATTTATTTTTAAAGACTGAGTCTGTGTGTTCCCCGGGGTGACCTGGAATGCTTGGGCTCAGGGATCTTMCTGTTTTAGCGTGCTGGGACTATAGGTGCATGTTACTTTGCCTGGTTTGTAATTCTTTTCTCTACTTCCTTCACTAACAAATATATATTGAGCACCTTTTGTGTACCAGCAGTAGGGATGCAGTGGGGGAACACAAAGAGCCCTACCTGGTCTAGTATGGTAAACAAACATTAAATAAGCACACAAAACCTAATGTTGAAATAATAATTACTGTGAGACTTGGTATTATCAGTGCTTATTAAAAGAGGATTTAAAWTGAGGAAATTGGGATAGATTTTCTGAGGAGGTGGTAATGGAAATTTGAAAGAGATTAGGAGTCAGGGAAGAGCATTTAAGATAGGAAATAGCAATTGCAAAGATCCAAGRCCATGAGGGATATGGCTCTTTCAAGGAACTGAAAGAAGGGGCAAAGAGAGTTATGTAAAGTGGGGCCTAAGAGGTATAGAGGCCAGTTTACTCATGACCTTGGGGGTTTTTATTCTTAAAACAGAAGCCATTGAAAAGAAGTCTCAGGTGCTTATTAACTCATCAAGTACAAGTCTCAGGTACTTACTAACTCATCAAGTAGTTGATGTAAAATGATTTTGTTCAAAATCATATTCAGTGGTAGAGTCTATAGTAGAACTCAGTGCCAGTTTCTAGCCTAGTCTTTTTCCTCATTGTTTTCTTCTCCTTTTTTTTTTTTAATGATGTGTGAGTCTAAAATGTGGCTTACCCATGAACTTGCTTCATCTGGAACTTAACTGTATAATAGGAATATTATTTTGGATAAATAAGAATAATTTTACTTTTTTTTTMCCCTAGAGAAAAAAATGTTAGAACCGCAAGAGAATGGCTTAGTTGACCTGCCAGATTATGAACATGTAGAAGATGAAACTTTTCCTCCTTTCCCACCTCCAGCATCTCCGCAGAGAGATGGTGAAGGAGCTGAACCTGATGAAGGTCTGTATAGAGTTTCACAAAAGTGTCCATGTTCACTTATCCATCCAT